TAATTAGGAGAACAATATTATTCAAAAGACTCATCACTGTGTCTTAAAGAAGCCAAATCATGTGGACAAGGAAGTTCGTCAAGCTGGAATTGCCCACAACTACATATGTTGTTTTCAAGACAAACAATATAGTGCCTCACACCATCTAGTATTATATGGATGTAGTCTGTTGAAGCCCTCACCTAAGATTACATTACAATCAAAAAACAATTCATATACGGTTAAACTCAAACTATATACAAAATATATACAAAATATCTACAATATATCTACATTGTTCTGTATAAATTAATTTGATTCAATAAATGATCAGATCTTACTCTAAGCTTGTGCGACAATGTTCTGTTGTCATCCAACTCTTTGTTAAATTTGAACCCAAGGTATGTGAATGTACCCTTTTCTTTCAATAACTTTTCCTTCGTCCAACATTCAAGAAGGGTCCCCATATACTCTAATAGTTCTACTATCGGCAACTCTCTTGCATATTTTGTTACAGCATTCAATGACTCTGCAATGTTTGATGTCATAGTCCAAGTTCTGTTCACTGTAGCATGTACTCGAGACCATCTATGATAGCCAATATTGTATAAGTATGCTTTAACACGGGGGTCAATCTCTTCAATCTTTGACTTCCTTTCACTAAATTCATCAAGGGTGTATGACCGTGTCATGGTAAAGTATAATTCATTTAACTTAAGATGTCCCTTCTTGAACTTTGCCCGTATATTTGTCCAAATATGCGACATGCAAGAATAATGTGGCATGCCAGGATAAATAATAGATGTTGCCTTCAAGATACTCTCATTCCGATCCGAAACAACACACATATTTGTTCTTTCACTATATGCGAGTTTGAATTGCTAAAAAATCCACTTCTTTGATGTGTCATTCTCTGAATCAACAACACCATATGCCAATTGTAATATGGTACCTACATTATGTGGCAAAAAGCAATTAATTGGCTGTAGGAAAATGCAGAAGAAGACATATATATACAAAGTAAAACTTTTCTACAATATATCTACAATAAATTTGCAAGTACTAGAAAAAACATACAAGCTACAATATGTCTACAATAAAAATTGTTTCCTTGTCTTGTTATACTTGTCCTACTTCAATAGAACTTGGTGTACTATCTATTATTATTATACTTTCATATTCCTCTATAACGGGAGATGTTGGCATATCAAGTAACTTTAGTGTTCCAGACAAACTTACATGAAAATAAATATAAATAATGTTATAAACAATTTGTATAAATTTTGTAGATAATTTTTAGAAAGGTTGAAATTCTGTATTTCATATTAATTTTTCAAATGATATATAGTTTTATTGTAGAATAAATGTAGAAATTTTGTAGATATTATGAAAATACATACTGATATATATTTACTCTGACATATAGTTTATTTGTAGATAAAATGTAGATAAAGTGTAGTACATTGACATACAACCAGAATTTGATAGAAAAATTAACATCACACACCTGCAGCTGTGTTCTCATTGGTGATACTCAATTCCATATTGAAATCGCGAACAGTTATACATAGCGGATATGACCCTAAGTTTTTGTTTTTCTTTTTCATCTCCATGTATACACGAACACCCATATCGTTCCTAATTTTCATTGGAGGATAATGCTCGTTGACAATGTATTTGATTTCTATAATTTTTTCGGATGTATCGATCATTAATTGTTGTACTATTGTAGAAATCAATAAACTATAACTCGCATCATTATCGCCTACAATGCCATCGACCTGAAATTCTCTAAATCTCTCATAGCTATCCCAATTCCCATTCAGATGTAGCATAATTGGGATTTTGGACATAATTACGTTTGTTGCAGAAGAATTGTAGAAGATTTAGTCGTTTTTGGTTTGTGAAATCAGAAAAAAAGGTTGAAACAGAGTGTATCGCAAAAACAGAGTATGAAAAATTTGAAACGAAGCCGACGATAATTATGAATGTGCGTGATTTGCGTTGTGGAAGATCTGGAAAAATATTTAATTCCCCAATTTTAGCGCGCCTAAATAAGGAATCTTACCGCTACAATGATTTCTTATTTAATGCATTGTCTATATTTTGTAGAAATACTATTAGCATGAAGGGTAATATGCAAACTATGATCATATTTGGTAATATAATTTTCTATATGGTATAGGAACGAAAATTTCCCATAAATATACCAACCTGGCATAATTACAAAAATAGCAGTAAAATAGTTACAAAATTAGCAACAAACAAGAAGCGATGTCCGCAAATTTCGCTTACCCAACCTATCAAACATTTTCTATTTAATAGATATTCATTAAAAGGAATTAGATCCCATTTATTTACTTTTTTATATGTGTGTGCAAACTAAATATTTTAATTTATTATTATACGGCTGTAAAACTGTATAAATCTATATCCATTATCCTTTATTGCATATCTAAATGATTGTGTTTATTTATATACATGGTATAATGTATATTTAATTATGAATTTAAGGAAATATAAATTTAAAATACATGTCATATAAATACACCAATCACAATGTATAATAATGATATAATGTGTATTTAAAATGTGAATCAAAATATATAAATCTAAAATACATATTATATAAGTTAAAAAATACCAAATCTTATAATGCAAAAATTCACAGTATATACTAGAAAAGGGTAGGAAATGTGGATATACAGGGAGGTGGGGGTATCTTTGAGGAAGAGAGAGAAAATAATTTCTATTTATGGAATAAATATAAGTTATTTGAAACCTGCTATACTTATAAAAAAAAGTTATTTATGGAATAAACACAAATTAATGTTATTAATAAAGATATTATTAAATAAAAGATTATCCGCGTAAAAATCTCTTGTATATCTTCGCAACTTGTTAACTGGTCCAATTTGAATAGTGTAAAGCCATTTTGAAACAACAGAGGAGAGAATGGAAAACCTTTTGACAAAAAAGATTTTTTTTCTTTAGTTGGGACTTATTTAGTCCAAATTTGAATTTGACCCCTTTTTTGTCAATACGTAAATGATAGAGAGTTAAATTAAAAAATAATCAATTACTTAATTTCTTTGTGTATTTACTTTTTTGTTTCCCTCGGTGAAAAAACATAAACTTCGTGCATTTACTTTAGACTCCGCGTAGTGAAAAATTAATGACTGTGCCACTCGGTAAAGCTATTGTCAATAAGTAAATGATAGAGAGTTAAACTAAAATATAATTACATACTTATTTGATTTCTTCATTGTATTTACTTAATTACTTTTTTGACTTCCCTCGGTGAAAAATCACGATTTCGCCACTAAACCGAGGATTTTTCTCTTTTTACTTTTTTTTCCTTCCTTTGTTTTGGGCAAGATCGGAATGATAATTATGAATTAAATTTATACTTTACTTTTTTTAACAAAGTTGTGCAGGGAAAGCATATATATTCTCTTTTGTCCCTAAAATGTTATATCGGCTGTTCGTTATGGGAAAAAGTAAGAGCAAACATATAACTGAAAGTCTTTATTGACTATGCACTTCTCCAAAAGATCGAGGATGTCACACACCGTATAGGGGTGGGGTGGATGAAGTGAAGGTTAGCATCGGGAGTCCTGTGCGACAAGAAAGTGCCAACGTTACTAAAAGGTAAGTTTTATAAAGTAGTGGTTAGGCCTGCCATGTTGTATGGGACCGAGTGTTGGCCGGTTAAGAACTCACACATCCAGAAGATGAAAGTAGCAGAGATGAGGATGTTGAGGTGGATGTGCGGACATACAAGGATGGATAAGATTAGGAATGAAGATATTCGAGAGAAGGTGGACGTGGCCCCATGGAGGACAAGATGCGGGAAGCAAGACTCAGATGGTTCGGGCACATTCAAAGGAGGAGCACTGAGGCACCGGTGAGGAGGTATGAACGACTGACTGTGGTGGGCACGAGGAGAGGTAGAAGGAGACCTAAGAAATATTGGGGAGAGGTAATCAGGCAGGATATGACGCGACTTAGGATTACTGAGGACATGGCCCTTGACAGGGAATTGTGGAGGTCGAGCATTAATATTGTAGGCTAGGGGGAAGGTGTGAGTATTTCAACAGTTCACTAAAGTGAGACTAGCCAGTTAGCAGTTAGTCTTAGGATGCTACTGGTCAATTACTGATATAGGGCTTTATCTGCTGGATATTATTATATCTTCCATCTTTTTCGTACTTCCTATATTTCTTATACTGTTGTTATTTTTATTTTATGTTTGGTATGTTATTTTATTTTATTTTATGTTATTTTATTATGAATCTATGGATAGTACTAATATATCGTCTCTTGTCGCTTTCTTGAGCCAATGGTCTCTTGGAAACAGTCTCTCTGCCCCTCGGGGTAGGGGTAAGGTCTGCGTACCTATTACCCTCCCCAGACCCCACTAGTGGGATTATACTGGGTTGTTGTTGTTGTTGCACTTCTCTAAAAGAAATTAACGGAAATAGAATAATCTATTTCTTAAAAACAACCACCTCTACCCCGAGGGATAAAGATAAATTCTGCATAAACACTACCCTCCCAGATCTCACCTGTAAAATCTTACTGTAGTGAAATTTTACTAGGTTATTGTAAAAATAACAACTATTTTCTTCACATGGTTGTTGTTTTTCACAAATATTTGAAATTTTTTATTTGTTACTTTTATTTTAAAGAAGATTGGTCAAAACACCTAGAGAAAAAGAAATAATGTAGAATTACTTTTCATCATTTATACTATGGCACTTAAAATAACCTTTTTGAGTGCAGAGAAAAACGTGGTTAAAAAATTATTCTCAAATAGATTAAAAAAGTCCAATTATGATGTATATAATTTGGCGAAAATAGATATATATAATTGATGGAATGTCAAAACATTACAAGTGAGACCAAAAACATTACAAGTGAGACCAAGTGGTGCACTGATTTTGGTCTCATTTCCAATAGCATAAGGTGAATCAAATCCCCTACCAACCTTTTTGTTTAATTTTTTTTAAAAGTAATAATGCACGGCAAAACCTAAATCCGGCTCTGCCAATTACTACTAAATAATCCTTTCTGCCATAATCGTTTCTAAGTTTACAAAAGAAAAGGTGAAAAAGGAAAATATTACTCCAGTCAAAAACTACAAACAAAAATTAACATGTTTTTTCACAGTGGAAAAGAACTTCACATCAAGCTCTTCAAAAAAAACTGGAAATAATAATTCCCAAAAACTAAAACAAAAAAATAAGTTTAAAAAACTGTTTAAAAAACCTCATCACGAAATTCCACGTCATCATCATCATCATCGCCAGCCATGTATATTCATTCATTCACCATTTCACCTTAAAGAGAACCAGTCAAGCACATCCCAAGCAACGCGCCGCTGGGCGAGTGCCACGCGCTCATCGGAAACCAACGGCGACCGGCAAATAGGACAGTTAAAATTTAACGTATCCAACCACCCGTCAAAACACTTCTTGTGAAAAACATGCCGGCAGGCCAATTTCCTCACATGGTCACCATCACCCAACCGGTTCAAGCAAACAACACAGTTCGAACCGGACGCATCATCTCCTTGATCATCAAATAACGTATACGAAAACAACCGGTTCAAATTGAGCTGCTCGGCTAACATAACGACACCAGCTAAACCGGAACCGACGGCGTCGTATAGTACGTCGTCAATTTGAACCGGATTGAACAGTGAAGATAAGCCGAGGAATTGAAGGAAGGTGAAAATAAGGGAACGGAGATAAGTTGAGCAGTTGGCGAGAAGGGTAACGAGTAGAATTGGGATAGATTCAGAAGAAACATCGGTTAATTGGTTTTGTAATCCCATTATCGTGGACTGGAGTATTATTTTTTCAATAATGGGTTTTTATTCACTTTTGAAGCAAGCGGGTAGAGAGAGTTTATGTGTGTATATATATATATATATATAGGGTGCTATGTTACTTCGTGTTGAAAGGGGATGGTGGGTTACGTGGGAAGGGATAGAGAAGGACAGGCAATTTAGGTGCTTTCAGTGTCATCACAGCGTATGTTGTACTTTAACCTTCCTTTATGTTGTTCTGGCTTTTCAAAAATATCTCTAGTACCTATCGTATTCTTCAAATATTTTAATTTAAATTAAATAGTTTGACTTGATATTGAGTTTTAAAAAAAAAATTAAAATTTATGGTCTTAAAAACTTAAGGGATAAAGCTTTATAGGGTCATGATATTTGTGTGATTATTAAAACTTTTTATTAAAGATAAAAAATGTAAAATAAAGAATTTAAATTTAAATTATTTATAATTGTAGAAATGTGTCATTCTTTTTAAAACGGATTAATAATGAGAGTGTGTCATTTAAATTGAAACAGAGGAAATCCAATATATTTGAAGGATCTAATATGATGACATTTTAAAGAGTTCGTGAAACATTGGTTCACGTTACATTTGATTATTTGTGACAGTATTTTCTTTTTAGCTCGTTTTAAAAACAATGATAGCTTTTTAAATTTAAAAATAATTTAACTTTAATTTTTATTTTATCCTAAAAAAGAAATTTTTACAGCTACACATGTTATGAAATATTTATGATTATAAGTTTCAAAATTCTTATAATCATATAAATGTTACAAATATATTATACATAAATTTTAAAGTCTTTATTAGTATCTTCCTTAAATTTCGTGCTTGTTCAAACTTTTGCCATATAAATTAAAGCGGGGATAATGACTTCTAATCTAAGTTTCAAAATAAATATAAATTTCGATTGTGTATTGTTTTCTTTTGCACTTTTCACTTTTGAAATACATTATTATGAGCTTTGATGTCATGAGTAAAAGTCAAAGTATTAAAATTAAAGTTCACTACAATTAGTAGAAATAGAAGTTGATTTTATGTTTATGTCAATTGCTAAGTGGCAACTTCTATGCTTCAACAACATGTTATTTAAGCTTGGTATAAAATAACTTTCGTGACTTAATATTGATTTTCAAATCAAAAGATTTAATCTTCTTTTGCTTTTTTGGGTAATAAAAAGAAGAAAGAATAACAAGAAAATACACGTAACTTCACACCATAACAAAAAATGACCCATGTTTTTAAGTTTTACCTTACCTAATCTATATTGTACATATTTTGAAAGCACTAGCAAATTCAAAATCCGTATTCTTACAATCATTGCTTTCAAAAGTTATAGAGTTAAATCTATCACAACCATTGCTTTCACTCTCTTTTCTTCTCACATCTCTACATATGCTTCAAGGGCCCGTGTATTTTCTGCTTCTCCCCTTCTGTCACCTGGTTGCAATTTAAGAAAATTGAAGAGTAAAAGTCCACCATTAAAGGCCACTCAAAGCTTTGCTTTCGAAAATATGATTTTTTGAGTTTATTAGTTGTTTGGATTGGGTGTTGTTCCAATTGATTAAAAATATCAAAAGGAGTTCAAATTTTAAATTTGAAGTGATTTGAACAAGATTTGAGTTAAATTTCAGAAAAGATGCGGGGAAGAAGACGAAGTCAATTGTTTGTATAATCTTGTATAATAGTGTATATGAGTGTATAAACATACACTACTATACACTTTATACACCTTTATACAAGCGTATGTAGATGAACTTTTTCCACGATTTTCAGTTGCAATTCTTGTTCAAAACTAGTCCAAATCTCCATTATAAATGACTTCAAATTTTATATATAACCTCTTATACTATTTTAATAAGTTTAAATAACACCCACTTCAAATTTCTCACAAAATCAAATTTGAAATTTAAACCCACGTATTTAAGCTTGTTAAAAATCTAATTTTCACCACCCAAATAGATTTGGTTTGTTAAACTAATATTTGAGTCACAGTTATTGATTCAAAAATTAACTTAAAAGTTTGAGCAATTTTTAAAAAAAATTTAAATAGTAATTTCGAGAACCTATTGAAGTTGAATGTTAAATCTTAGCCTATTATTTTTTGGCTAATTAGTTGTAAATTAAAATGTAGGCTATAAAATTGAAAAAGTAGAGAGCACATTTATTGTTATATGAAATTTTCTAGGAATCTTGCATACGACGAAAGTACAGCTTGAGCCTTGAGGATAAAAACTAGCGGGAGCGTGGAGATGGCGTGTGGGAAGCGCGTGACTTTGTTTAAGGAATAGTACTATTTTTATGAAGGAACAAAAGGGGGTGGCCAAAATAGTTGGAGAATTTCAATATTTTAATCAAATGACCTGTGGGGTGGGTCAGGTTTTTCGGGAGATAAAGATGAAGCTATAGTCCTAACTGCTCAATAGCGATATTCATAATTCGGTTTGGATCGATTTTTTTAAAAATAAAATTAAATCAAGTAAGTCGATTCTTTAAATATTAAAATCAAACTAAATTAATTAAATTAATTTTTTATCGATTCGATTTTTATCGGTTTTTTAATTTTTTTTTATTATTTATCGATTTTTTCTTAAATATGAGACATACACTACCAAACACATATTTCGGTGACTATATTTTCAACGTAGTCCTATCAAACGAATTGCTTTTTGAGAAATTTATTATTTACCAAAATATATTTATGATGATTTAATCAAATGTGATGAATAATTTAAATACTCAATTAAAAATTGATTAATTTTAACATGAAATATATTGTTGTACTTAGCAAAGGAAAAAAATTACCAATCACACTAGAATGTAAAGGTAAACAATTAGATTATTATAATACCGAAGAACTAGACTAAAAATACAAATGACTAATAAGTACTATAAAATTTTAGAAACTTTATATNATTTTTTGATTAAAACAAAACCAAATCAAATTTGACCGATTTTTAAAATTCAAAACCAAAACCAAACCTAAAAAGTATCGATTTTTTTGGTCAGTTTGGTTCGATTTTCGGTTTGGTTTGATTTTCCGGGTTTTTATGAACACCTTTAGTACTAAGATTTGTACACTTTTGTAATGTTAAACATTTTCTCTTCCTCACCACCAAAGGATGTGATGTAGCCGGTAGGGCTACTCTTCCCTTAACCAAAAGTTTCGAGTTCGAGCTTTAAATATAAAAATATTTTTGGTTGGGAACGCTTTCCCCCAAATAGGATCATACGCGATGCGAATTTAAATATAATCAGATTCTAATATGGGTATCAGACACCAAATGAAAAAAAAAAAACATTTTCTCATCCTCTTTCTTTATTCTTTCAAGCTTCTTATTTGCTACTATAGATATTGATAAAAGGTGTGAAGTAAATCCAAAATTATATGGGGCGAAGTTGTTTTAAAGTAATCAAAAATTTTATGGGTGGTCATTCAACTTTATGTTTATTACATAAAAATTATTTTTCTTTTTGGTTACGTAAAAGTCATTCAACGTTGTGTTCATTATCCAAAAGTCACTTTTCTTTCTTTTGTTATACAAAAATTATTTTACGTTGCTCTATTTATCACAAAAATCATCTTGGCCAGATTTTATAATACTTTTAGTTGAAAAGTCTATTATGCCTTTGGAATTATAAATCTTCCTATTTATCTAATATCTTCTATATTGTATATTATATAATATATTTTTACCTAGATATTTTACTTATAATTAAAATAACTTTATATTATTTTATTTATTATTTTATGATATATCCGTATATTTAATATTTTCCTGTAACTCAATTTGTTTAATCATATTTAAACACATACATAGTTGAAAATATAAAAATATAAATATATTTATTTTTTAATATTAATTTGAAATAATAAAAACAGATTCATTTAACAAATTATAGTTTTTATAGCCAGGAAAAATTTTACAAATTTTTTTAAAGATATTTGTGTTTAATATTAAGTTTTTAAATCTTTTTCTGTTTATATTATTTATTTGTACTTGTTAATCTGATGTGTCAGTGTGCTAAATGTGGGGATTTTATTTATTGGATTAACATATATGGCTTGATTGATAAATCAATAAGCTTTGATTTTATAATTTTTATTAAAAAAAATTTATTAGGCATGTTTAAGAACGTTGACTTGAGATTTGTTTACAGTAATGTTATTGAAAAATTTAATAATACTACTGATATATCTTGAAAATTAATGCTAAGAAAAAAATTAAATGTATAAAATATATTATAAAAATAATAAATAATATAATATTAAGTTATTCTAATAGTAAAGTAAAATACTTGGCTAAAAGTATATTATATAGCATATAATATAAAAGGTATTATAAAAATGAGAGGATTTATAATGTCAAGGGTATAATAGACTTTTCAGGTGAAAGTTTTATAAAATCTGGTTAAAGTAACAATTGTGATAACTAGAGCACAGTAAAATGATGTTTGTGTAACAAAAGAGAGAAAAATAACTTTTGGGTAATGAACACAAAATTTAATGACTTTTACGTAACAAAAGAAAGAAAAATAACTTTTGGGTAATGAAAATAAAGTTAAATGACCACCCATAAAATTTACTCTCTTTTAAAGCTAACATACTTTCGTCTCAATTTATGTGACAGAGTTGGATTTCGAGAGTTAAATGAGTTTTTTTTACTGCAATATTTTTATATAATTTTTTAAATATTTTAAATTGTTAATTATTGTAACTTATAGTACTTTTTACGTAATTTTTAAATATATAAATTTTATTTTAAAAAACTTTGAACGAAAGTAAACAAAAGGAAAAGATCCTAAAATTGCATAGAGGCAACGGCCGCAAAACACACCGAATAAAAATAGTCGGCCATGATCTGTATCAGATGTTTCATTGGTGGACACTTGCGGCCGTTGCCACATATTAGATTCTCAACTCTGCAAATCTCTTCCTTATATATAATAGGGTACACGTATATAGTATTTACCGTAAAATTGCTAGTTGTGATATATACAAGATAATGAACGTTATTTTTGGTAGGAAGTGACGAAAGCTCTTTACTCTTAAAGTGACTATACTTCTCCGT